GGGGGGGGTGGGGATATATATCTGCCCCCCCCCCAATTGATATATCCCTAATCTTACTTTCATACTGTCAGAAACATCAACACAGACCAAGAAAATAAATGTAAGGTACACTAAATAAATCACAGTCATGATGACATGCTACAAAATAGTGTGAATTTGTTTTAAAATGCTACATAACTATTATATTATCATGTGAAATGAGAACATTTTACTTCCACAGCGACTGCTTATCATACAAACAGCACAAACCAGGCCCCTGAAATTTTAAATTTATGTGAACATTATTTTACAGACGATTGCTTGACAGGCAGTGAGAAAAGATAACAAACAGAGCAGCTTATTTCACAGTTACAAACATTATATTTGGGCATTTTCTTAGTTTATACAATGTAAACAGATTCTGTTACATTGTTACCACTGAGAAAACATGTGCACATCTGATTTATGTGAATCATTAAAGAGTTCTTTCTTGTGGCTAATCAGCTGTTAGCATTACCTGTATTTTTGTAGAACTATATCAGCAGCAAAAAAATGTTTCAAAGATGTACACAAAGTGGTGTGAAATCAGGCCCAATGCCCATATGAAAAGGCATAAATTAAAGCATGAGCTGACACTGGAAAATCTTTATGACATCCAAACAAGATGTGAATTGAGCGCAAGGAAAGTTTTACTGTTAGTTAACCCAAGAAACTGGCAACTCATATTGCCACGAAAACAAACAAAAAGAAATGTACTAGGCGACTCATCACATAAAACAAAATTGCACAGCAGGTCTGACTTAGAAACGTTGTAATGCACTGTAAAATATAACTTCCTATCGGCAATAATAATCAGTCACTTATTTGCGATAACTTATATTCAAGTGTAAATTTAAAACAACTTTGACCCTACTCAAAACACCTTACAAATAATCTAGCACTTATATGTTAGACATACTTATACAAATAACTTAAAAAGGATATCCCCCAACTACATGCATTTTGAATTATGCAGATTTCCCTATAATGTGTTTTTATATTAATTTATTTTTTCATAGAGGAAAGTTTATTTAAGCATATTTTTGAGTAAGCAATCTCTGTTTTTAATATTACTGTTATAGGAAATAAATTCGAGTTACATACACACTCCTGGAGTTGCAAATATTGTTTAAGTCAGGGGATACCTATACTTCATTCTCCATGTACCAGATAATTATTTTCAATAATTTAACATAACATTATGAATAAACATATAACTGACCCTTCAAACAATTCTGCAACTTGATCAATGTAATCCTGTAAGTGCAATTCTTCAAGCCAGGAGGAATACTTGTTGTACACCATTACTAACTCTTGCACTTCCTCAGCCCCCAGTACAGTATCCACCATGTCAAGTATATATACTGTTGAAAAAGAAAACAGCGTCAAGTTGAATATCGCTATTACAATTTATGAATTATCTAAAAAAGAGCGATAAATTTATGTCTATATGGTTTAAAAAATTTTGTTCTATGTGTGGTGTCTAAACAAAACTATAAATTACTTATTGTACAACTTAGTGGCCTGTGCACAAAAATGTTCTATAGCATAAATTTCTACTAGAAGGAGACTGTCAGATACAACCTCATAATTCTGCATCATTGCCACATTTATAATATTAACTTATGATAAATGGTACGATTTCTTATTTTTTGGGTGTTTTTATGACTTACCATTACATGAAATCTTACATTCCTACCTACACTAGAACAATCATAAAAATTCAGTCAATAAATTTGCAGAATAGATGAAGAAAATTAATTTCAAGACTAGAGAAAGGATTTCAAAGAGAATTTATTAGTCATGAAAACTGGTGGTACTCGCATTTGAATACTGCAAGATTTTGTAGATGAATATAAATGGAAAGTTTAAAGTATGATTGAAGTCAACGTTTAATCAAAGCCTGTCCAATTAACAACTGCAAGTCTGAACACTGCTGTGTTAATATACCTTATCAGAATTCTCTTTTCAAATTACCATATGCTAGACTAAAATTTAAATCTTCTTACCACTGATTTTGTCCTCAAAGTCTATGACTCTGCGACTTAGAAGCTCTAGTGTATTCTCAATACTAGTTAGATATGGTTCCAACAACTGGATGTAGCTAGCAAGAAGATCAGCCAAATAATTTTCTACGTATGTTAGCAAATGCTTCATGTTCTCCTCTACATGCATTATTTGTAACCTTGTAGCTTCAATTTTTGTCTTCAGGTACTCCTTGGAAGATGTATGCAGTCTCTTAATTTCAGCAATGCAGTTAACAACAAACATCACAGTTTTACCAGCTACAACCTGCATAGAAATATTGGTTCAGTTAATAAATTAGAAGGCTTCAATTTATATAAATTTTCCAATGATTATTCACAATACATGATTAAACAAAACTAAAATAATAATAAGATTATAGTCCTCTGGGTTGTGATACCATGTAGCCTGGTAAACAGAGTTGAAGAGAAATCAGCAACTTATTGCATACTAAGAAATACACTTGAAACCTAACACACAACGAAGCCAGACGTGGAAATGCAAGAGGTGGATAAGGCCCACAAATAAAAAAAGCAGATCGTGGAAAAACATAGAATAAAACATTACAGAACATCACCACAACCAATTCTGAACAGTGTACATCCAAAGGAAATCAAATAGGAGCAGAAATAAAACACGTCTGCCCATGATCAAACTAATAGACACCAACATAAATCATGACATGACAGGTACAATGAATATAACAATTTCAACTCATTGTCTAAATGTTTTAATACACCATAACACTGTAATATATTTTATGACTTAAATATTTTCATTTGATTATATATACATTTACGTCCCTCTTTAACCAACCAATTGAATGTAGAACCTTCATTTCAATTTTAATGCATTTTATAAACTTTGTACAAATTCAGATGAAAGTTGAATGTACGAGTATTAACTGAATGTGAAGTCAGGTACATTAGTAACAGTTATTATATTACTCATGTAATGTGTGAATTATGTAAAGTGCAATTCAATAGTTTGAAAATATTTGTTGATGTGTACTGCCTGATGATGGCTTTATAAGCTGAAACATGTAGCATATTACCATACTATTAAGACCATTAAACTCATTACACACAGTGAAATGTGAATGAGATTCTAATGGTTGTTGTGTTGAGATGGAAACAAAACAAAGAATTTATAGAGTGGAAGAGACTCTCTTTCTCTAAAGAATGAGGCAGCACACTCCTCCAAAACACTAGTACATACCTATCAAACCTTATTCCTGTAGGTCGCGGTGCAAGGGCCAAGAAGGCCCACCCCTTATACATTCATACCAAACCTTATGGTATGATATCCCAGAAGACCATAACTGTGTTTTTCACCATTATGAGAAACTCAGTTTTCACAAGGTAACAACAGAACAGCTTCAGCAGCAGATACTTTATTAGATAACCACTTGATGACCAGGTATGATGTAATGGAAACAGATCACACAGGACTCCAATCAACGTAAATATCAGGGGTTTATGTAGTTTTAAATGAGGTGTGAAGATGAAGATTAAAATCATTATAGAATTGAGATGGTTCATGTATATACCTACTAATTGTGTATGCATCAATCTTTATGTTAAAAATTACGAACATAACAGCAGAATGGAATGTAGTCGCTATGTTTAACAAGTTTCAAGTAAACTGAATCTATAATGAACAATTATGGGTGAGTAAGTTTCATAGTTATTAACATATAACATCTGCTAGCTTCAATATGTAACTGGAAACATTTAAGGGCAAGTATAAATCATGGAGGAGATTTTTTGCAGTCACTTCAGACCAAAAATGCATGAACATATTTCCCAGAACTGTCAATAACCTAGCAGCAGTCTCTTCTTTCATACAAGGAATTAGTTCCTTAGAAGTCAATCATTAAAAATTTGGTAAACAGAAATGAATTTCTCATTACATCAGAGGTAATATGAGTAAATAGAAATAGAAAATTTAATTAAAAGATATTTTAAATTAAAATATTTTTAAACTCAGTCATTAAAATACTATTCCATGCTGGTCCCTCTTGTTGTTTATAATATACATAAATGACTTGCCCAAGATTTTAGAAACTAAGAGTATCCCCATTCTATTTGCTGATGATGCCAGTTTTTTGATCTCTCAAGACAATCCAATAAAACTTAAAAATACAATAAAGTATATAGGATATTGGAGGACTGGTTTAAAAAAATTTAATGTCACTGAATTTAATGAAAACATATTATATAAACTTCACTGTAAAAAAATAATGTAGTTAGAGAAATGGGGGGCATAGGAACGGTTTTATTAAACACAAATTACATAAAATTTCTTGGCCTGACTATCCAAAATGATATAACTTGGGATATACATATAGATGAGATAACAAAGAAACTAAATACAGCTTCATGATTTGTTTATTCCGTCTTGCAGTGCATACACTTATCTATCTTCTTCTTTCACTTTCACTACATGTTTCGGCATAAGAATGCCATCTTCAGGTGCTACTCAATTCACGTCAAACTAGTACATTGTATGCCTTGTCTTCACTTTAAAATAACTAAAATATATGTCCATCATATATATTGACAAATGTCAATCGTAAAAATATTAAAACTGTCCAGGGTTCCCGAT